CTGCGAGATTCTTGGGAGCTTTGACAGCACTCCTTTGAATTTGGTGATGAAAACTCGAAGTGACTCATTAGATCCTTGCGATAAGTTCCAAAGATCGGCATCCGAAACGCTTTTATCCATAAGGATGGAGTATTGCTTTAAGAATACGGCTGATAGTTCGTCGAAATTGCTGATCGAACCCGGCTCTAATTGGGTGAACCACATTAGAGCTTGGCCACATAGATTCTCCGAAAAAAGCTTGCAGTAGCCTGCGTCCTCATCAGCTTCATCCAACTCGACTCTTCCAGCTGCGATCAGAAAAGCTGCGAGATAGCTTTTTGGATCCTCCAATCCGCTGTAAGGGTCCAACTTGAGTTTCCGGGAATCTTTGATCCTCAAACTTGCAATTCGCGAGATGAAAGGTGTTCGCCTAGCTTCTTCAATGACTCGATTGATGTCTGGCTCCGAACTTGTAGCTTGATGAAATTTTGATTTCATTTCTTTTAATTCCTGGCTAACCTTCCTCATGGTCTCGAACTGGTCGAGGTTCTCCTGCTCGTATTGAGCTGCAAGTTGTTCTTCATCTCCGAGCTGTGTCTCTTCTTCCAACGTCTGAACTACATTATTAGTAGCACCGGGAGTTGTTTGTCCGCTGGTTTCATTTCGTGCAGCGGAACTTGGCGAGTTGAATATCCCTCTTCGGATTCCCACAAAGTTTCCTGCACTTAAAGAGCGAACACGAGTTTGTATAGTATTGACGTTTTGACTAAGAGATACCTGGGATGTTTGCAACGTATCGACGGCCTTTTCCACATCCGAGAACTTTTGTGATATGTCCGACATGGTTTGCTGCATAGCTTTGAGGGTTTCGGCCAATGATGTCTCAACGGCGTCTCCTCCGGACATTGTTGCTTATCTCGGAAATGTAGTAAAGAAAAAATCTGACCACTCAAGAATCCTATCTCCCCACAGACGGCGCCAAAATGTGGATGTCGGATTCACACACTCAAGTATTTTTATTAGTAGGAAAGATTATTCTTGAAGGACAAAAATAAGAACGTAAAAGGCTTATGAATTGCTACAAAAATTGCTATCGTATTTCTTGCTTCCGAGGAAGATCCCCTTTACATGGCCATTGGCCTTTATATTTATACATAGAGAAACGACATTAAATGAGTAATTAAGTACAATTATTCCTTCTTAAATGTGTCCGTTTTGATTCTTTGACTTTAATGCTTCAACGTTTGAATTTGAGTTGACTCTGATCTTCATGGGCCTCGCCTTTTTGGCCCAATTGTCCTTGAACCGACTTACCCGTGTCTTCTACACCGAACTCATGTCACAGTGCAGTCACTTCGGATTCTCGAAGTGGTGACAACCACTTCGACCGTTCCCTCGGCTCACGGGTCCAATGGGCTTTATCCTTTATGGGCCATTATCTTGACTACGTGGCAATCTTTGGTTGGTCTCGGACTTCTGGTGCGGGATCCGACACCAACAGTGGGGAGCCCACGGACAGTGGCGGTCGGGGCATTGCTAATATGAAAGAAACGAGTAAACATGAATATGTCATAAAATCAAGAGTACGACAAAACAAAGAAGATGGGCCTAAAGACCGAGACTGGACGTGGGAACCCATGGACAGTGGCGGTCGGGGCGTTGCTAATATATTGTTGGTTTAAATATATAGATTTTTTTATATTTAATTCTATTATATATATCAAGATATAAACACTAATAATTGTTTGTGATTCAAAAACACTATTAATTGTTGATTACTAATAATATATATCTAAAGTTATAGCGTTTTACCATAATTCTATATTAATGTCGTTATAAAAATTAGACTCTTGACAAAATTAATTCAATAAATATCCCTAACTTGATAACCCTAAATATTAATTATTAATTCTGGTCTTAATCAACATACAACCCCGCGCTGGGCGCGGGGACCTCCCCTAGTTAAATATTAAAAGGTAAATTTATATAATAAAACTGTCTGTTTTGTTTGTTATCTATACTATATATCATTGTTGAAATACACATTTGTTTTAGTAAAATATTACAGAAAATGTCATTGATTTAAAGAACAAACTATCAAGCTCACTAAGGGTATATATGGAATAGAAAAACACTTATAAACATATAGCCAAACAGAATTAAAAGATTTCAACATTAATTACAAAATTAAAACATCCATATTATAAGTTTGCAACATTATATATTATACGTCCATCATCGGCTAAAATGTTTAGAAAGTATATGTGTTTCGAAACCCGGGAAAAAATTTCCACGTCATTTTCATTTCAAGAAGTCATTAAAGAATTAAGGAACCCACAATCATAAATAATATCCCCAGAGACAAGAGCTCAAAAGTTTCAGTTGGAAGTTCGCATGAAGAAAATGAGTTAGAAGAGGAAGTTAAAACCAGACATGAGCCCTAGGCGAAAAGCCCGTGAAAAGCTTGAAGCAAGTTTAAACGTACAAGTTACCGCAATCACTATCAAATCAAAACGGACATATTTATGAAAAATTTATTAGCCATTTTGATCTTAAATATCGTGTATAAATATAGGACCTCTGAATAAGAGAAGTTGACTGATTATTCTCTGAATACATGGCAATACTATACTTTTTCTCTTAATTTGTACACTTACAGTTTCTATCTAATCATCAATCGATTCATACATTTGTTCTTGAGAGTTTTTGTCCCAATTTATTATAAATTCTTAAGTATTTGGATGTGGTATCCACATTTTCGCGCCGTCTTTGAAGACACTAGAGCTCTCAAAACCTTCAGTAGTTCTCGAATTTCAGCTAATCACCACAGCCGCAAACAACATTTTGGCGCCGTCTTTAGGGATCCAAAGTTTTAATTTCCGCATTTCAGCTAATCACTCACAAAACCTCTGTACAAGAGTACCAATTGTTGTTACAACAAATAACCTCTGTTCCACCAACTTCTCTTGAAGTTTCCCTTGTTTTCTTACTTGCTTTCATATATTCATACCAAGGCTAAAGTCTCATGGGAGGATGTGTGTACTCCTAAGGAAGAAAGACGTTTGGGTATTAGATGGTTACATCACTCTTCGCGGGTTTATGCTCTCCGTTGATTTGGCGATTATTCACTAGCCACAAAGTATGGAAGTTTGTCTCTCCGTTGGAAATCACTCCGTCGCTCATGACACATGCTCTGTTTTTTATTGAACTATTATCTCTCTGTTTTTATCACTACATTGTTAGGGTTTAATTTGTTCTAATTAAGCTCGTTTATACACTAACAATAACCTCTATTGTTTTTTTTTTTTTGTCAAATAACCTCAATTGTTGATTTATAAATTTAACATATCAAAAAAATTTCTAATAATTAATTTAAGTCTTAAAAATAAAAATCGATATATTTAAGTAGTGACATAACAAATGATATAAGCCATCCACCATATGCTTTTGACAAATGTTATGCTGTGCATTTTTCATCATAAAATGTTTTGAACTATTCAAAAGTTTTTCACAACAACCTATATCATCAAATTACCAAAAATTACATTTAAATGTCGCATCAAAGCAAATTACCAAATACCAATTGATAGTAAACCCCTTAAAGATGCAGAATTGAAAATTCATCAAAATCCTGAAGGGAGTATTCTTTTTTTTGGTGAACTAGCGTGCTTTAGGCATTACCTCGGTGTCAATATCCATGCTGAATTCTACAGAACTCCTTGAGTTCATTTCTCGACTCTCTTCTGTCCTTGAATTTTCGGATATCAGACACTCTTTAAGATCGTTAACAACTTGGGACATGCTCGGTCTTCTTCACTACAAGAAATAACTACATTATTAGCTAGAGAAAAGAGCTATTATATGTCATTAATAGCGTTTTCATAAACGCTATCTTATGCCCCTGTTATGGTAGACCCCCCACATACGATAGCGTTTTTTCTGTATGTTATGGTAGAGTATTCTACCATAGCATTAGTTAAACGCTTTGGTATAACGACTTTATATTTTTTTTTAATTATGTAATAACTCATTTTTCGTGCTATTATAGGTGCTTTCTACCATAACTTTATTAAAATGCTTTGATTTTTTATAGCGCATTTTTATGCTGGAATACATTATATGCAATTAAAATATATAGATTTGAAATCCAATTAATAATATGCTACAGAACCAATTTATTAAAAACATGTTTCTTTCCATAGATCATCAAAAGTTACATAGTGTAGCATTGAACACCATTTGTTAAAAAAAGGTCTTAAACAACATCATAAGTACTGCAATTCAGATGGACTAAACGAAGAATTACATTGGTTTGCTCTTTCTCTCCCTCCAAGAACTTAGGTTGATGTCCACACTTCACTGCCTTCTCCATATTCTCTGCAGTTTGGTTCTTTTCTTTGTCGTTGGCTGTCTTTGTATAAGTAAAGCAAGTGAGTTTTTCAAATGCTTCTACTAGATAATGACTACATATAAAAGCGTGAGGAAAGAAGGAAAGATAAGCTAGAAAAGGTATTTGGAGCAGCAAAGTGTCTTACCAATACCTACCACAGCTGAATCTGAGAAAAACAAGAATAGAACTTAACTAGAGACCATTAATTTGAATTATAGCTTATGAAGAACATACTTCACAGAGAACACAAGAATTTTTAGAATCAGAAATTTCTTAAGAATATCTAAGATCCACCGAAAGCTTTTCTTAAGAATATCTGAGATCCAGTGAAAGCTTACCTCACCAAAAGATGAATCGAAGCTTTCTATCCAATACCCTCACTAAAGACAAAACATATATTGAACCATAAAATAATTTATAGATTCATACGAAAAAAAAAAACAGAAACTCATACATGAGATCACTTGTTACTTGGTTATTCATGACGTTGTTTCCACAAACTCCAACCTGCAATCAAACAAAAACACCATCAATATTTTCATAAAACTAATCGTGCCAAGATATAACCGAAGCAATACAAACAAAACCCATATTATCAAACTTACCATTAGGAAACAATTTCAAAACAAATGTGATCTCACCATGTATCAAACAAACAGAAGATACTAACCACACATACTCCATTTCTCTAGCGTCAAAAGATTAATTCACCTATAAGAAAGGCAAAACAACAACAATTACAAACTGCACAACTGATTATTGTACCTAGTCCCGAGTTTATCAAAAGAAAGCTTCTATGTGTTTTACCATCTTTTACAGCAAGATTGATGACTCTCACTCTTTTTTAATCTTTTGTTCACACTAGAAGGATGTAATAAAACAGTAGCGTCAACAAGCTTCTGTTTTGCCATTTTCACCGCAACTTTTGCTGAGATTAAACACAAAACAGGAAAGATAAAGCCATGTGTAAGCTCATGTCAGTGGACCATGGTTTATTTATTATCCAACAAAGAGATAAGTCATTGTCTTGTTCTTAGCTTTGCAATCAACAACTAACAATGGATCTCCATGGAAGACATCAGGAACCACGACATAGAATCCAGCTTCTGCAACCTTGTCAACAAGCTTCCTATCACAGTAAGAACATAAAACGAAGACAAGTTACAGCAACAATTAACCTAAGCATCGAGCTAGAGAAACTAACACAAATCTGGCAAAAAAAACAAATAAATCTTCTCATAAACCTTCATATCAAATGAGTTCTTTCTCCCTCTCTCT